GCATAGGAAAGAGAAAGATTTTTGTAAAAACAAATAAACAGGCAATTATAATATGCTGATTTTAGGTTGATAATGTTAAAAACAATGTAAGTATTAAGAGTTTCCCATCATCAACCTTACAAAATTTCTGGCAAATTTAATCTACTCCTTTACATTTTGAATGTTTTGTTGTTGTGCTAGCCATATATTGGCTGGTGGCATAGAGATTTCCTGTACCTTGGATCAAACATGGATCAGAATGGAGATTGCGATTAAGAGATAAGAAGAAAACTAGGAACAGGAAGAGCAGTGGTGAAAGAACTAGACAAAATTACAACTGAACACTAAAGCTGGAATCATCCAAGCCACTGCATTTCCAATAACCATGTATGGATGTGAGTTAGATAGTGAAGAAAGTGGATAAGAAGAAAATCATTCAGGATTTTGTGCTGGAAGAGAGTGCTGAGGATACAGTGGATAGCCAAAAAGCCAAACAAATGGGTCCTTGAACAGGTCAAGCCTGATATCTCCCTGGAAGCCAAGATGGTTAAACTGAGGCTGTCATACTTTGGCCACATTATGAGAAAGCATGGCTCATTAGAAAATACAACAATGCTGGGAAAGGTAGAAGGCAGTAGAAAGAGAGAAAGATGGCATGTCAGATGGCTGGACTCTATCAGGGAGGTCTTGGGCCTGAATCTACAAGACTTAAGTAGAGCAGTGGAAGATAGGGAGCCTTGGAGATGTCTCATCCCCAGGGTTGCCATGAGATGAAGTTGACTAGAGGGCATCTAACAACAATGTAGAAATTTTCAGAACAAATAAGTAGAAACAATGGAAAACCATTTAGGATCGCTGGAAAGAACCCTGCCCCCTCTTTCTTTGGGCTGGTGTCAGTTCTTAGCAGACTCAGCTCTCTGTGTATCCAGTAAACTAGTCAATTGTTGCAATTGAGAGTTTATTGAAGAACACAAAGACATACCTTATTTTCTGGCGTATAAGACTACTTTTTAACCTGCAA